AAGGTCATAGTGTAACACATCGTTGTACTCGTCTTGACGTCAGCTACAATCTTATGATGTTGAAAATATAGGATATAATCCAAAAATTACCGATGACCTTCAAAAAACCTTGAAAATGACAAAATTCGGAAATTTTTTTTATATCCTCATATTTGCCCCCTTTAAACAGTACAACTTTTTCCTATAACATTTTCTTCTATCTTTAAGTCGAACTGAGATATTTAGTTTTCTGTTCTGTTTCTCGTGAATCACCCGGTATTCAGATCAAGTACAAAATATGATAAGAGCAATTGGAAAGAGAAGGTGCAAGTCAATTTATCATCATAATTAACTTTAGTCTTATATTAATAATTGTCATATAAAATGATATCAAACGTATTGTTAACTGAGTAATTTTAAAAAGAAGTTCGTCATGCCTGGATCAAATTGATTGACTCGATAGTTCTACCACTAATGACAATATCAATACAGTTACGTATGGACTCTGTATAATGTTTCCACATTTATAGAAAATTATTTTCAACTTAAAAGCCTAAGGCAAAATCTGCTAAAAAGATCTTGTAAAAAAGTCCACGAGCAAATCCACTACGCAATATGTATATTCATTTCCATGACACTTCGAATAAATGAGAGAGCTACTTAACCAGGTGAAAATACTCCAATCCCGAAATGCTTTAATCAATCAGAATCAACTATGATAATTAAATTTAAATATCAGGAGATGAGGAAGCTCTTGAGGTTGTCTTTCACACAAGAGTTGGAGGCTAAATGTACATATATACCTTGGATTTGTGGTAGATTGGTTCCTGGAAACGCGGGTTTGTAAACAAAATGTGAGCCCCTGAGATGTGTAGGAGAGACGAACGTCCCTGGAGCTGAACGAGAGAGGAAGAAGATCGTGATAGGATGACGTGGATGTTTCTCTGACCGGGAAGGCAGAGGCTGGGCAGAGAGATACAAAGGGTCCTGAGTGAGAAAGAACGAGGGGGAGAAGTTAATGAAAGAAAAGGAAGGGAGACGATATCGAAAGAGCGAAACGTATGTAGGAAAAGAGCGGGATGGACGAAAAGAAGTTGGTGGAAAACAGGAGGGGGGAATGGAACGAGAAATGCGGAACAGAGATAGAGAGAGGGAGATGGAATTGGGTAGCGTGGAACGAAAGTGAAAGAGACGGAAAGAGAGAGGGTGGCAAAGCGAAGGGGAGGTGTGGTGGCTGCCTGGAGCTAGGCACGGCATTCCAGGACCTGGCCTGCTCTTCGTCCCTTTGCTCAGGATCAGGGTCAACATCAGGATTGTTCAATGGATAAACGGACCTCTAGGCATCCCCTCGCTGTATCGACCCGTACAAACAGTCCGATGCGGGTCGAATTGCATTTCTTCGATCATCGGAAAGTAACAGGGATAACATTCAACTGTGCTCGCCCCGATACGTGCAAGATTTCCTACTACCGCCATTTCGAAATCGATGCTCGAACGACAGAATTGTCCAACGACTACTCATGATATAAATGATAACGTCGACATAAAACATAGGAGAATAAATAATACTAACAGGTGCAAACTGTACTTTATTAATATTAAACCTGCCAAGTTGGTCAATTTGACCCATGTATTTTTATCTTTTCTTTAAAAACACTCGATTTTTAACAATGCTTTTCATGCAATTTTTTTAGGGCAATAGAGAATTTATTTAAATTGACTTGCTCATCAAAACCATAATCATAGAAATACAGTATATACATATAATAGAAATGTATTGACTACGAATAATCTTACTAATACTTAGATATTAAATATTCATTTACATACATTGAAAGATTTCACAAAGTATACAGGTAGTATATAAAAAATTATTAATCGAGAAGTTAATTTAAATCGAAGAACAAGAACAGAAAATAAGGAAAGGAAACAAATAGGTTCATTACATATACGTAAATGCTGAATTAATAAGTAAATAAGGCATTTGTGAAAAAATGAAAAAAGTGAAAAATGCTTGATTAAAAATAATGATGGAAATTATTAAAATTGCTACTTAATGGAAAATCTTTTCTCTTTCATTGTTCATGTTACCAAAAAAATATCTGTCTCCTTTATCAAGACAACA